CCCTTGCCTTTCAGCCACCCACACAAACCTAAAAGAAGGGACCTGATTTATTAAAGTGCACAGCAATGTGGCATACAGTGGAGTTGCAAATACTGACCACTTAGGCTGAAAGAAACGGCAAGGTGTCTCCCTATAAAGCCTCTGCATCTCAGTGATTTTGTCACCATGGAAACAGCCCTGTGAGCTGTAAGGCAGGCGTGGACCTGTGTTTACAAGTGCAACATCTGCTTCAGAGAGATGGGCGCCTGACATCCCAATCTTATTCCACTCAAGATCCAACACACGAGCAGCTTAGATCCTGACCTGGCACAGTGAAAGTTCTCAGTTACTGTGTGCTGTTGTCCTCAGCATTTACATCATATTTCCCAGAAAACAAAGCTAGACGCATGTATATTCCCAGAATACATTCCCATCTCAAAGTCTCTGACAAACATGTTCATAGAGAAGGTACAATGAGGGTTGCAGTACCAGTTTCATAAGAACACCAGGTGGCCATCAGGTGGTGGACTAGCTATTTCCTGCAGGGATCATGTGACTCTGGAGAAGGAATATATGGATGAGGTCTGAGGATAGAATTAAGGTACGTCTTGGTACAGCTAGTAACCTCCAGCCAATGGATACTCTACTAGCAGAAAGGAATATAGCCATTTGATTGATACACTCAGTGGCAGCCACAGTATGTGCTCTGATTTTAGATGTTGTTTTGGTTTTTCCCTTTGGCTGGGGCTGTGGAGATGATTGGAAAGAGATGGGGCTGGAGTTGCTTTCCCTGAACCAACAAGATAATTCTGACCCAGAGCAATAAGTTGCCCACCAATTGGATAGCTCCCCAAAGAGGCCTCTGAGAAATATCTACTCTCAGTCTACAAGTCTCAAAATGAAAACTGTGAACCTTCTGAAGCCCACATTTACATATCCTAGAGGAATACCCTATGGCCTCCCTGAAAGCGCCATTATGGCCATTTGCAAATGGTATTAATAATTCTTTTAGAAGCTTTGGTTCTGCCTCCAACATTAAATGGTACCCTGCAACCTTTAGTGGTTGCAAATTGTTAAAAAGCCCTTTCTTTCTCTTCCTTTTCTTTTTCTTTTTCTTTCTTTCAAGATGGAGTTTCACTGTTGTCGTCCAGGCTAGAGTGCAATGGTGTGATCTTGGCTCACTCCAACCTCCGCCTCCCAGGTTCAAGCAATTCTCCTGCCTCAGCTTCCTGAGTAGCTGGGATTACAGGCACGCACCACCACGCCAGACTAATTTTTTTGCATTTTTAGTAGAGACAGGGTTTTGCCACGTTGCCCAGGCTGGTCTTGAACTCCTGACTTCAAGTGATCTGCCTGCTTTGGCATCCCAAAGTGCTGGGATTGCAGGCGTGAGCCACCGCGCCCAGCCTTTCTTTCCATCTTTCTGATAACTTGGGTGATGCTCCGAGATAAAGCATATATAACCTTGTGATGTCCTAGGTGTAAGACAATCGATGGGCAGGATTGTTACATAAGACCGCGCCTGTCTCTCTGGCACTTGCTGATAGTGACAGTGCTAACTGGCACAGGTACCTCTCTCATCCGTGGCAGACTTTTGCGCTGGCTGGTTTTCCTGATGTCCACTGAGCTTATTATTGTTATTGTTATTATTATTTTAGCATTCAGCTTTTCATACCCCTCCCACCCATCGGTATCTGTGTCTCAGATTAATTTTCACCAGATGTGAGTGTCTGGACTTCTGCAAGATTTGTTATTTTCCCTCCATGTTCCTAACCTTCTTCAGGCCATTTGTGTGATTTCTCTGACCTCGCTAGTGTTTCCAACACCTTCCAAATTAGTGTCATCTGTGACTTTCCTTCACATGCTCTTTTCTCCCCTTTACAGATCATTAATAAAGAGGTTAAACAAGACCAGACCAACAGCATACTCTAAAGCAAATGACAAAGAGTTGGGAGAGCCAGCGTGCTCCCTGTGCGCCAGCCCTGGCACAGGAAGGATGTAATGTCATGCAACAACACTCTGCTAGACGCCTCCCGCCTCTGGCCCACGGTCATTTATCACCACTGTTTGTTTATGATTTTCTCAGCCAGATTTCAGGTCCTGAGAGTGTGGTCATATCTAAACCAACATGCATTGCTTTGCCAGGTAACCCTTATGAGCTTCAGAAAAACCCACGAGAACTTGCTCCCCAATCTGCATAAAAGCTTCTACTTCACCCCCCAAGTCCATCACCCTTGAGAGCAAAAAGAGGTGGACTGAGACTTTATTATCCTTTTCTCTCTTCCAATTCATTAGCTGCAATTAATTATTTGTTACATATTCATTGACTTTCATGTTATTCGTTAGATTTTTCTTGTAGCTGAAAGAAACCCTCTGCTACAAACATGGACTAATTCACACTCTCCAACAATCAAACTTTCCTTTGCTATACCCAAGTGTTATAAAAATCAAAGATAACTGGAGAGGGTGTGTTTATAGGGTAAACATACTTTATAAGGCCTGCTGGAAAATGTGTGCCTGGCTTGGGTGTAGCTATGGCCATAGGAATAGATTTCTTTTCTTCTGCCTTTTCTTTCACCTCCCAAATTCACCAACCCCAGTACCAACCACTTTCCTCTCTTTACAGATACAGTACACTCTCCTGAGCCCAGAAGTAACAATAATAGTGATATGCTTATATTCTACCTAGGGTTGAATACTCACCAAGCACCAGGCATGGCCTGGCATCTTACTCAGCCCATCACAGCCCTGGGGATGTCACAACCTTCCTCAAAGGAGAAAATGGAGGGGAGAGATGGAAGGTAACTTACCCAAGGTCATCCAAACCTGGGCCTATCTGAATCCAGAGACCACACTGTTAGTCACCCCACCACAATGTTATCCAGTCTTCCATAGATAAGGGTCTTCTTCACTTTTTCTGAGTCACTGGCCCCTCTCTCTGCTGAGGAACACAGACACTGTTTGCGGGGATGTGCATACATTCACACTGAAGTCTGTTAACCCTATCATGGGATTTGCAGAGCCTCCAGGGTTTATGGATGCCTGCTTGAGAATCTGTGTACTACTTTAAGCTCCTCCAGGATATGAATCACACTTTGTTCACTTCCTTGACTCCAGTACTGAGGTGTATATCCAGTACAACTCCAGTACTAAGATGAAGAAATATTTTTTGAATGAATAACTAATTGCAAAGACTGTGAATAGGATATTCAAGGTGAAGCTCTAAACAGTAGCTTTGTAAGCCTGAATAGAAGACATAAATATACAGACATCTTCCAGAGGAGTAGAGGAGCAAAATAAAAGGAGGAAGTAGGGACAGAGATAAAGCAAAAACATCTTACTTTGCCCAGGAATTGATTTTGCAATTGGAAGTAGACAGAGACATTGCCATGGGGGTTCTAAAACATCTCGTAGCTACTTCTGGTTTGTTCTCATACTAACTCCTGAAAAGAGATTATGGAAGGCTTCTTCTGCAGAAAAATAATATACTTAGAATTTCAAGATGGGAAGCCAATTATCAAGAACAATCAAAATCTCATACTGTACCCCTTAACCCACAGAATTCTTGATCCCTAGAGATCTCAGGGAGGACTGCAAGAGCCAATGGCAACTTCCTCCTCTCACTAGGTCCCTTTCAACCTTCTACAACTCCTGGGTTTTTGTTTTTCCACAGATCACTGCCCCTTACATGTCTCCCTATTCTCTAACTACTGATTTTGCTTTGCAATCTCCTTTTCTTTAAGAGTTAGAGGAGCCGCTCACTCTTGAAGTTAGACTTCAGCCATGCTTTAAACTCATCAGCCTGCACATTACTGCAATAAGAGGACAGAGATTCCCCTGCTGATATGCAGGAAAATGGAAAAGTGCCTAGGTCAAAAGCCTGCCTTTCCCTTGGCCAGACCGACTGGACATCTGGGGTAAGCAGAACTCCGAGTTCCTTCTCAGTGCCCCCACCACCCCCAACAATGGCCTGCCCCAGCTTTGACACCCAAGGCAGAAATCTGGAGGCATTCTCAAGTCTGTCCTTTATCTTGCCTCCTCATCCAAGCATCCAAGTCCTTCTGGCTTCACTTCCTAGTCTTATCTCTAATTTATCCACTTGTCTGCATCTCCACTACTGCTGCCCTGGGTCAGCGCCATCAATTCTCTCACAGATCATGGAACAGCCTCTACTTCTGCTCTTCCTGCCATGACAATTCATCCTCTATACAGCAGTCAGGGCTATTCTACAACATAAATCAAATCATGTCACGTCCCTGTTTAAAGTCCTCCAACATCTGCTCATTTTCCTTAGGCTAAAATCTAAACTCTCTATCTTGTCCTAAAAGGCCCTACATTTTCTGGCCCCTTCCCTCTTCTCCATCCTCATCTCACTGTTTGGTGCTCTACCCAGAGTTATGGTCTTCAACCTTCTTCAGCCCATAAGCTCCTTCCTACCTCCAGCTTTTGCATGCCTGCCTGAGACCACCTCCCAAATGTACACCTTGGCATGGATACCTCCTGACTTGTAAGACTTGGTTTACTAAGTACCTTTTAAGACTTGGCTTAAAACTTACTTCCTTGGAGAGATGCTTGCTGAACATCCTTCCTTAAGTAGGTTCCTCATGTTAATCTCAGTATCTTTCTGGTTTCCATCAAAGCAATGACCAAAATGTACAAGGCTTCTATCAAGATGTTTAATTATTTATGTTCTTTCCCTTGACTAGATGGCAAGATCCACAGGGTTGCAACCATGGTAATCTTTTTTTTTTTTTTTTTGAGACATAGTTTTGCTCTTGTTGCCCAAGCTGGAGTGCAATGGTGCAATCTTGGCTCATTGAGACCACTGCCTCCTGGGTTCAAGTGATTCTCCTGTCTCAGTCTCCTGAGTAGCTGGGATTACAGGCATGTGCCACCATACCCAGCTAATTTTTTGAATTTTTAGTAGAAACGGGGTTTCAGCATGTTAGCCAGGCTGGTTTCAAACTCCTGACCTCAGGTGATCCACCTGCCTCGGCCTCCCAAAGTGCTGGGATTACAGGTGTGAGCCACCATGCCCGGCCAACCACGGCAATCTTATTCATCATTGGTTTCCTAACATCTAATCAAGAACTTAACCATTTGGGGAAAGAATGGACAAATGAGTGAATAATAAATAAAAAAATGAATAAATGAAGGTCTTAGTAGCCAATGGCACAAGAAAGAGATATATCAGATCCTCACTTATACAAACTCTGAATTGCATTAAAAGCATCACTAGGTGCCCCTGTACAGGAAGTATAAAAGAAAACCTGTACTTTGCATAGAAACCTCCACTTTATATAGAAACCTCTGCTTTTTATAGAGCTCAGAGCTCTTTCCTTCACTTTTTTTTTTTCTTTTTGGCAGTAATTAAATTTCTCTAGTCCCCGGACAAGCACAGGCTGAGTGTCCAGACCCTGTCTGCTAAAAGAAGGCAGGACAGACATGAACTTCCTAGCCAAAATAAAACATCTCCTGCATCTTTCTTTCGTTCTTCCAGAGGGGAGGCATGGCAGGGGGTTCCACTGGGCCTTCCAGCACTGCTTCTATTTGTAAAACATCCCTTTCTCATGTCTAAATGTTCGGGATTCATATTTTTACTCACCATAACATTGTCCATGTGCTGGTGGCATGCAGCTACAATTCTTCATTTTGAACAGACTGCATCTACTAGCATCACAGCCCCATGCCAAAACGTGTTAATGCCACATCTGTATTTTTATGAATTGGGTCCTAAAAATTTGCATATGTTTTCAATCAAAAAAGACTAATCCCTTTCTAGTGGTTTAAGAAAAAAAAACTTGTGTTCTCTGCTCAATTATAAGAGTTCACAGTAAAAGCTCAAACATTCAAATGTCAAGGCAGATGCGGCACATCTCACAAGGTGCCTCAATTTGCTCGTCCATTGCCCACTTCATTGATGTTTACAAACCCAAATGTCTCTGGGGCTGGGGTGGGGGCATCCAAGGAAAGTACCTTCATTCCATGCAAATGAAGAAGTATTTGCTGATACAAATGATACCTACATCAAGTGGATTTCCTTGAAGGAAAGTTATGGAGAATTGAGCGGCTGCTTTTCACACATTTTGAAAGGCAAGATAGATAGGAAATACCGTTAGGGCTCCAAGAGCACATTTTCACAATTGAAAGTATATGTGCACGTGGGGCTTGGGGGTTTGGTGGTGAGAGGTGTGGTCGAATATGCATTGCCAGAGATGCCTATGAGGGCAACAGCTTGCTGGAAATGTGATCCCATGGAGTCTCTAGAAGAAACCCAGAACAATGATGCTGGTCACAGGTAAATCTTAGACATAAGAAAACAAGAGTGTGGATGATCCAACAGGGAGGGGGAGTATAGAGAGAATTTGGAAGCAGAATATAGGAATATATGGTGGGTGCAAGCAGCACAGACTACATAATTAGTGGCACTCAGGGCAAACGAACATGAAAATTTCAAGACGGTGACAGCAGAGTTTTAACCTAAGAGTGGAGCCCTTCTCAGTGTAGCCCTTCTCAGGGCTGTGGACTACACAAGCCACACGCTGATAAAACCAGGTCTGGGTGTGAGGTTTAAGAGGAGAAAGGCTGGCTCTAGGGACTGTCTAAACTCTTTCGTAAAGTAAACTTTCCCTGGTCCACTGTGTGCTTGGAAAATATCACTCTTGAATGATCATAGTGAGACAAATAAATCATGTCAGGACTTCGTCTCCAGAAGTGGCAAAAAAGGGAGGAGCTGATGGGGTTGTTATGCTAATTCAAATTTGTTGTAATTTTTAGAGAGATTTTTTCTAAATTATGATTCATTTCAGCACCAGAACTCCAGATTCAACTCAGAGCCTTCTGATGCTATTATGAGCATATTACTGATGCCTAGTAAAATAACATCTTGTAATGTTTCTTTTATAGGGGCCATAAATCAAAACATTCAAAACAGTTAATTTTTAATGTGCCATTATTATCCATCCTTAGTTATAAATTTAATGTCTCCTAAGCCCTCATGGATTGTAATGCAACTCAAAACATGCAACAGCTGCTCAAAAACAGAAGGTTCCCCCAGTATCTCATTATTTAAATCCTTAAAGATATGGTTTTAAAAGCCTGAGGATATCTAAGCAAACTTGTTTAAAGGAGTCATAAAGAAAGATAAGTAGTTTTCCTCTGAAGCATATGAAATTTATTACAGCATACTAAAGAAGGATTATATATTGACTAAATTTCTAAAAAACATTTATTTTCTGGGGTGTATGGTGTTTGGGGAAATAAAGGGGATAAATAGGGCTTAACACAATTGTCTGCATTTGCCTTAAGCAAGGCAAGATTTTCTATCGGTCTTGGAGCCAATTCCATCGTGAGGATAACAACACTGTTCATATCTCAGGGTGTCGTGAATCTTGTGGAAGGACAAAAAAAATCTTCATTATTCCAGAGGACACGCAAGTGCAGCCTAGCACCCCGATACTCATGATGGCAGAAGTAGCTTCACAGAAGAGCCCCGAGTAGGAGCTCTACTTTTCAAGACAACTCCCAAACTCTTAGAACTTTCCTTTACCTACCTACGCTATGCAGGTTTGGGGCAGGCTTCACATGTTTGCTTTTTAATGCCATAAAACCCTTTTTTCTCATTTCTTTTTACTTTAGGTCAATCTCCACTTTTATTAGCTTTTCTGTGTGAGTAAATATGACATTTCTCTTAATGTTTTCCCTAGATAAAGAATTGCTCCCATAGAACATCCAGAACTTCTCTGATTTCCCCACGTCCTTATACTAACAAGCTTTCCTATGGAATGATTTTGCATCTGGAAGTGTTCGTTCCAGTGCTGTTTTCCCCTTTACCAAGACAATGGAGAAGAGATGAGATACTCCTGTATTAACATGAAGCAGGTTTTACTGGCAGCAAATGGATCCAGGAGGCATTACATCTTTACTATGTTGTACCTGAAAACAACCATCCTGTGAACGTCCCTCTCAGTACCAAAAAAAAAGCAAACTGACCCATTAGTGGAACCAATAACAGGTTCAACTAAGAAGTATAGTACAACAATGAAACTCACCCACAGGCAAAACTTCCAGTTCTAGGTAAAACTTCACCTGAAGCACCACTTGCCATGCTATGCGAAGAAGGCAAGACTCGGGGGAGAAACACACAGGCTAAGTTATCCCAAAGAATTGTCCCACACCTGTTGATTCTCCAGCACTGTGACATTTCATGCTTGTCCCAGAATAAAGAACTATACATTGAATACTTTCTGATCAGAAAAATTCACTATGGCACACGATCTACTACATTCCTTGTTCAGAATAAAGTGTCATTTGTAATGTTGTCAGGTTTAATACTATATTCTATGTAACCATATGTATATTCAACTCCAGGGAGCTTGTGACTTGGTGTTAAACAGACTGCAGTACACAGGAGAGGTGCAATTCCCAGCAGCAAAAGTTGCTAGACTTCAACGTTCCATTTATAACCATGTGGTAATTACATGTGTCACTATTCAATTGTAATGCAGACAGGATGTAAATAACGGGTGAGCTCTTAAGATCAGCTTTTAAACGTACAAAACCCTCTGATAAATACAATGTGTGCAAAGCCCCACAGAGGTATAATTTTTGAAAAGCAACAGACAAAATGTCACTAACAAGACCTGCTAATAAGAATATTTCTATTCTAATTCATTTAAAGAGTTACAGTTACCCATTCACCATTACTATGCCTTGATCCTGTGTTTTCTTCAGAATTGCCATAGAAGAGATGGCACAATCCATTAAACAGGCTTCTTAGAGTTGATAGTTTCAGCTCCATGAAGATAGATAGTTTTATTTTCCTTATTCCTTGCCAAACATTTGACACAACCAGAAGGACGTGAGAGTCACACCACACTGGCATATCTGGTAAAAGCAAGCAGTCGGCTGAAAACCACGACTGGAGAATTGTGACAATTTCTGAGTCCACAATCATGCCTTAAAAAGTGTGTATAAACCCTAGTAAGGACATAGTTTACATCTCAAATAACATAGAAACATTTGAATCGTGCTAAACCCAGCCCCAACAAGGCAGAGCGGTAATGTGATCATGGGTGGGGAGGTGAGGTAGCGTGGAGGGGACTTTTGGGAAGGGTCGGGGCACGCGGACATTCTGCGCTCACAGAACACAGTAGCAAACACAGGGCACAATTCACAAACATCAGCGAGCACAATTGAGCACGCACACAATACAACACTAGAATGCAATATTTTAAGAAAAATGATATAAAAGATGGTTTCTCACCCCTCAAAACAAAACTGGAACTTTGGTTTACAGGCCCGGCTATGCCCAGATGCCCTCCTCGTCATCCTGCGGCCGGCCCGAGGTGGGGAGGTGCACAGAGAGGAGGGGAGCACCAGAATGAAAGAAGAGAAGGTTAGTTACACCGAGATGCACTGGAAAGGCACACTAATCTTCACTTTGTATTTTAATCTTAAAGACTGAGAAAAAAAAATCCCCAGTAACTTAAGTTCCACATCACCGACTTGTCAAATACATAACCAAGTTTGGTAACTATGGCAACCCACACACAAAAACATTCCACCCACCCAGCTCTGACTCTGTGTCAAGATTGGATTAGAAGATTAAAATTAGTCTACATTAGCAGATGATTATTTTTTTGGAAGGCATGCAATCTGAATTGCATATGCCTAAGGAGTAGATTAAACCTTTTAAGTAAGCAGAGAAGTAATTATAGTAATCAAATACCCTTAATTTCTCTTAAGCTTAAAGTATCAATAAAGGCTGAAGAAGAATTAAAAAACACACACAACTCTATCTACTTGGGTGGAACAAACTTTTCAGCATGCGATAATTCATATTGGTTATTCCACAAAGGCTCAAACATGCTGCGATCTTCTTAGTTGACAGATTCTATTTTGCTCTCAGCATGAAAGAGGATGCACCCGCGATGGAATGATTAGACAGTTGCATGGAATGATTAGACATTTGCAATCAAATAGTTTCAAAGAAAAGAGAGGTAAGCTTTCAATTCAGTAGAAAGCTTGTAGAAAGAAAGTTTTGCTTAACTTAAAATTGTGTTCAACTATGGATAAACTGAAACTCCTTTGGCTTGAATTCTTGTTGAAAAGTGTTTCCAAAATAGCTCTGGTAACTTTCCTCACTTAGTGAAGTGGCTATTACACAGGAAAATGGAATATTTGAAGACTGAAGTATATCCACCATAGCAAAGTCCCTGTTTTGAACAATTCTCACAGTTTAATGCAAGGATTGAAACACAGCCTGGTGTCACACTTAATTTGAGAGCTGCAATTTTTAATAGATCTCCAATGAAGTCAGATTTTGCCATGATTTGCTTCTGGTTTTGAAAATCAGGAAGAGGAAAAAAAATAACTTGAAACATTTTTTCATTATTTGACTACTTATTGGTTAAGCTGTCATATTATTAGGTTGAATCATATGAAAATGCCAATATTTGGCCATTTTTACTTAGAAAAATAGCAGTTTCATACAGTTTGACCTAATCTGGCCAATAGGCCTAGTCATTTTTATCTATTCAAAGATTTATTTTTCAAGTGACTTTCAATACAGTTTATTTACTTTATAGTTCTATGTATTTTGTTTTATGCATTAAAAAAAATATTCTGAGAAGAGATTCAGAGAGTTCATCATACTGCCAAAGGGATCCACGGCCCACAAAGGTTAAGAATCCCTGACTGACTTGAGTCAATCGAGTGATTTGCACAGAGTCCGAACTGGACAACTCAGTATGAATTTTCACTTGACAGCTTAGGTAGGAATATTCTGGCAAAAAATAAAATACATTGATTATTTTAGCTGGGCCTTCATACATAAAAATTATCTGTGTTTATTATTAAACAGTCTAATAATTGCTCTTGGCAAGAAACTTCCTTTTCCCTATGTGACTTAGGAAAAAAGTATTTTTACATTCATTTAACTTCCTCTCTGTCCCTGGAGAAAAGCAAAGTTGATGTTCCTTTTCATCTTCATAAAGCAGGAAAGTTTATAGCATGAGACCCTAGGGCATTCACAAATGGGTTTCAAGGGGTCTAGCAACCCCTTGAAATTCAATGAAGAATGTTGTTGAGTATGTGTGCAAATATATTTCTCTGGATAGAGGCCCTAGCTTTCATCATAAGATTCTTGACCCCCAAAATCGCTGCTGTAGAAAAACTCCAAGCATAGAAAGATGCTATGGTTTGCCAAAGTCGCAAGGCAAAATAGGAGGCTTTCTCTAAAATACAGCTTACAGCCCCTGCGGACTTCTTCCTAAATAGCTACAAAATAACTTTCCGTGCAGAGCAGTTTATTTCATTTCACATTTAAAACCCAATAGCATGCACACATTCATTTTGTTCCAAATCCATTCCTATCGGGTTTTAATTTTTAAAAAAGAAGAAAGTAAGCAAAAGAAAAGCCACTGCCACCAAAACCTATTACTATTTTCTTAACAGTGAAATGTGGTCTAATGCAAATCACTTTTAGCAAATTAAATACATTAAAAAGTGGTAATTAATTATGATTGAAACAGACAGGAGTTGTAGTTTGAAAATACACTCTGCCAATATCACTACTACTGTTCCTCGTCCGCCATAGGAATAAAAAGGAGCTCCCAGATGTCGAGGGTTATTAAAAACCAGATGTTCAGATCGACATCTTGTATGCCGGTGAATAAAGTAAAGAAATATGACAGTCCAATGTAAACTTTGCTAACATTTAATGTGGCAGAAATGTGGATAAATTCCTTTCATGAACTCAGAATACTATGCATTTTTTAAAGTTTTTAGTGTTTTAAAGTTTAAAGTTTTTAAAAGAAAATAGAGACGTGGTGGCCTTTTCTGGTCTCTCTAATCTTCAAAGCTTAAACATGAATTGACCCTCATTGCCAAGTGATCTGGGTCAGAGTGAGTGTCCGTTCGGGGAATAAAAAACAAAAATGCAGGAGCTAATCAGTGCAGGAGCTCCAAGTCTTTCCAAACATATGCAGCTGTTTCACTGCTGCGCTGCCTGCATCTCTGTATGCAAATATTAAATTGTTCAGCAAACTTACTGCACAGAAATGCAAATTTGGGGATCAAAAATAAGAAACAGACAAGTATCACTTGATCCCTATCTTCATGCTAAGTTGTTTAGAAATACTTGGAGTTCTACAAAGCATCTATCAGGCCTGGGACAGTCTGTTTCCTTTCCTTGTTTTTCTGTTTCCAAATCTACTTTGCAGTGGCTGTTCTGAATGCTGCTTGGTGTTTGATCCCTTGTGTGTCCTTTGTGAGTGATTGTTCTGCCACAAGTTGCCAAAATATCTGGATGGGAAGAAAGACTCTAGTCCATCAGTCATCTGCATGCTTTTGTTCATCTGGGGATGGGAATATCCAAGGTGGACTGAAGCCCAGAGCACAGTGACCACAAAACACAGCAAATTCTGAAGGGGAGGAGGTTTAACTATCAAATAACCCCAGGATACATATACAGTTCCAGGGATGATGTGACGGAGAAGGAGCCTTGATGGAAATCCTGTAGTCCCAGATGCTGCGCCCTAATGGGATTCTCCAAATACTGGGATAAGACAAAATTCCTTACTGATGGGCTGCTCATAGTGGCTATGTTTATGACAAGCTCTAAAGGCAAAGGGACTGAGTCACCATGGACAAGACAAGGACTTGCTGTTGTGGGGGGTGGGGGGGCATTTATTAGCTCCAGCAAAGAAGCTCTGAAAAGAAACTCTATAATCTGACATGATAAATGGTCCACTGTAAACCTTTAATTGGTCTCCATTTTGAAGTATTAGGTATAGCCAGCAGGCAAACCTGAGGCCACCACTATATTTATTTTTTTTTTAAAACACCTACAATTCTCTTTGAGTTGATAGCTGTTTTGTTTTGTTTTGTTTTGTTTTTTAAGAATTAAGTTCTTAATGGAGATCTTACTGTCACACCTGTCCTAGCAAGGAAAGAGAGTAGAATCAGGGAAGTATCACTTTCAAGTAGCCTACTGCCTTTCCGGGAACTCAGCCGAAGTCTTTGTCAGAAGTTCCACACCTGGCTTCCTTGCTGGAAGGGGTGCAAGGAGATAGATGATCCCAGTTGTAACTAGGTCTGGTGTAGGCAATCTTCAGACTCGCCTCCACTCCTACTTCTTTCATGGCTTCTCTAAAACTTTCTGAAACTTCAAGCCCCGGGACTTTGCAAAGTTTGGCTGCACAAGTCATGAAAGCAAGATCACAGTGTGGAATTTATGGTGTGCCCTGATCCTGGGCTCAACCAAAGCAGTTCCTGTTAGCATTTCCAACTGCAGGCTTGGCCAGAGCTGGGAAAAACAGACAAAAATGGAAAACAATAGGCTTAGGCATGAGCCTGGCAAAGTGGGGCACTGAGCCACATCAGGGCACTAGTAAGTTTTCTCCTAGGGTCAAGTCCAAACTTTCCCTCTGGAGACCATTCATTTGTGGTTTTCATCTCTCCTGCTTCCTGGAATGCTTAGTTCATGGATGAATGTCTCTTTTCAGGTGATGGGGTCAGGTATGGCTATAAATTCTTACATGACTTGTATTTATTATAACCTCTGGGGCCCATTTGCAGGTAAGATCCCCCTAAAAATAGGAAAGTCCTAGCCAGGTTCAAAAATCTACTTCCTGCTCTTTTAAAAATAAATGTTAGCTTATTTCTGAGCTGGGCTAGAAAAGAGCCAGTGTGCATTGCCCCTCTTCCGGTTAGAAAGAGTGCTGACGGCTTTGTGTGTTTCCTCTCTGAGTCTCACCGAGGCCCGGTGACACAGGTGTCAGGAGGCTCTTTGTGCAGATGTGGGAAGGAAGGCTCAGGGAGGGAGGTCAGGGAGCTTATCAAAGGATACCCGGTCAGATGCTGTGGTGCCAGGGTCAAACTCCAGCCCATCTAACCACAAAAGTACACCCTTCTGACTCTACCATATGTGCTGTGCAGCCACAGAAAGGAGAGCTCACTTTGACCCCAAAAGGCATTTGTTGGTTCTGCTTAGCTTGGCTCTAGAGTACTTTGAACTTGGTTCTGCCTTCTTTCCAAACTGTTGAAGACCCTGGTTGGAACTGGAAGCTACAACTTAAGTTGGGTCATTCCGGCCCTTGCAAGAAAAGGGTCTTCACTTGCAAGTGGAAGCTATTTACGTGAACATATCAGTAGCACCCCAAGACATTTTAAGATCTCTGAGGGGAAAGGCAGCACCTTTACTTCCTTCATACTGTGCCACAATTCTCAGATGTGGGAACTTAGATATTTCTAAGTGAGTAATTACGGAAGGCTCAGTTCTCACTGTTTTGAATGACTGGATTCCTCTGAAGGAATATGCTGCCTGGA